TTAATTCTTCCTAGTCCATCAACCACACTCCAGCCCAGTAGGTGGCGGGAATGCACCTATCGTTTGTTTGCCAACCGCCATAAAACTCCAAAAGAAGAAGAAGGCACCGCCTAAGGTTGCTAAAATGCTTTCTAGGTAGGCAGCTCACTACGTTTTGAAAGACAACCTGAGTATTCAGAATCAGGGGAGGAGAATCAGAGCTCATGCGAAAATGGCGTCTCCGAAAACAGTGCCTAAAGATGCCCAGGTAAATAATGTTTCAGAAACTGTTTTATCTCCGTGTTGTGCAACATTTATTGTTTTTTAAACCACAGCGATTAAAGCAGCATGTATAAAAAGCGACTGTATATTTTATTCATCTTATTCTTCTTTGTGCACACACATGCGTTAGCACGCTAACTGGTAGCGTTAACTTAACTGTAATCCATTTTTAATTCGGCTTGATTATAACACAATGTGTTATAATTTACCATATTTTTATGAATATAAAGGTCATGTATTTATGATTAATGCGTAAAAATGTAAACTAAGATATTTGCTGGTGCATGCTGCAAAGATGCAGCGATGATGCTAATATCAGAATCAGAAGGAGCTTTATTACCAAGTATGTTTACACACACAAGGAATTTGACTTGGCGACAAGAACTTCCAGTGCAGAAGAAAGTACACACATAGTGCAAACATACACGATAGTGCAGACATACATAGAATAAAACAGTAAAGATGAAATAACACTAATATAAGAAAAACAGAAATATAAATAATGCACTATATATACAAATAGAAATATAGAGAAAATATAATTGTTTAAATGAATGTACAGATATGTTATTTACTTTATATAATTTGCATGATATTTTCCTTGTTCAGTTTTTGCTTTTTGTTATTGTCTTCAAAGGTTATGATGCAGATTCTTAAAGACATGGGAATCACGGAGTACGATCCCAGAGTGATCAATCAAATGCTTGAGTTTACATACAGTAAGTCAGGATGACTTTAACCCTTCAGCATATTGTAAAATGCTTTAACAAACTCCAGCGGTTACTGTTCTGTACTAGTAAGTCGTCCAATAACATTTTAACAATTACAGTCAGATGTTTTTTGTTTTCCCCCCAGGATACGTAACAACTATTATTGAAGATGCAAAAATATATTCCACTCATGCCAAGAAGTCCAATGTGGATGCAGATGATATAAGGTTAGCAATACAGTGCCGAGTGGATCAGTCATTCACATCTCCTCCACCACGAGATGTAAGTTGTTCTTGTTGACTTGTTTCTTAATGCATAACACATATGTGACTTCTGGTAATTAATAGTGGTGGTTGGTCCATGGTTTCAGTTTCTGTTGGACATTGCAAGGCAGAAGAACCAAACTCCTTTGCCTCTGATCAAACCGTACACAGGTCCACGCCTTCCACCAGACCGCTACTGTCTCACCGCACCAAACTACAGACTTAAGTTCTTGCAGAAAAAGGTATTATTTTAAACAATATGTGATAATATATAGTTTTTGTAGTTCGGGTCTAAAATTTGGATTAGGTGACCTAGGGATGCCTGATGATAACAAGTGCTTGTGATGTATTACTACTGTTATTGTACCTGTAGTGCAGTGGTTCTCAACTTTTTTGACTCCAAGGTCCCCATTCACAACAATATTTGAAAGCCCTAGTTTTGTTTTTTTCAAGAATATTTTTAATAATAATAATTCATTACATTTATATAGCGCTTTTTCTTAGCAAAGTGCTTTACATTGTGGGGGGGGATCTCCTCATCCACCACCAGTGTGCAGCATCCACCTGGACGGCAGCCATAGTGCACCAGAACGCCCACCACACACCAGCTTATTGGTGGAGAGGAGACCGAGTGATGAAGCCAATCATTAAATGGGGATGCTTAGGAGTTGATTTCAGTGATCCTGCTCTTTTTAACCAATGAATTCACATGACTCTTCCAGTCAATTGTGATGAACAGGCTAAAAGTGTGGTCACATTTGCAAATTTTGTCAGCAAAAATGTCAATGGTCTATTGTCAGTAGCATACAGGGATTAAAGTTTTCCGTCACTATGACGGATTTCCGTCAGTTCATAAAGACAGTCACTTGCTTCATTCCTGAATGATTCAGCCGTTCGAACGAATCAATTGAATGAATGATTCAGTGATAAAATCAGTGACTTGCCTCCACTTGCTGGCGGATTTAGGTAAATTTTTAGCCTATAATTTCAGTTATCAGAATCAGAATCAGAATGAGCTTTATTGCCAGGTATGTTTACACATACGAGGAATTTGTTTTCGTGACAGAAGCTTCCACAGTGTAACAGAATGACAGTGACAGAACAAAAAACACAGATAATAAAAAATAGAACAAGTAAATAAGGAATAAAAATATATAAATTGACAATTGTATGTGCAGGTATATTACAATAGACAGTTTTTGTATGTACAGGTACTGTATATTATGTGCAAATTTGAGGTGTAGACTGAGTATGAGTATTAGATAAATAAGTGTATGAGTGAATAAATAGTGTGTGTTCCACAGTTATTGTTAAGTGTTCATGAGATGCATGGCCTGAGGGAAGAAACTGTTCCTATGTCTGGCCGTTCTGGTGCTCAGTGCTCTGTAGCGCCGACCAGATGGCAACAGTTCAAAGAGGGAGTGTGCTGGATGTGAGGGGTCCAGAGTGATTCTGCCAGCCCTTTTGCTCACTCTGGATAAGTACAGTTCTTGGAGAGAAGGGAGGGTTGTACCAATGATTCGCTCAGCAGTCCGGACTACCCTCTGTAGTCTTCTGAGGTCAGATTTGGTAGCTGAGCTGAACCAGACAGTTATAGAAGTGCAGAGGATGGATTCAATGATGGCGGAGTAGAACTGTTTCAGCAGCTCCTGTGGCAGGTTGAACTTCCTCAGCTGGCGAAGGAAATACAACCTCTGCTGGGCCTTTTTCACAATGGAGTGAGCACGCCACGGAGGCAGCCATCAGCGTCGGCGCCATCTCTGTATTTAAATCATTTAATATTTTTGTGTTCAAAATTTTATATTTAAAACCTTAATCTCCACCTGAATTTATGAATTTAATTGCACTCATGCCACCTCTGAGCCTCATTGAACACTTTTGTGTTCTTCTGTACCACCTCTGTAGTACAAATTAATTTATTAATACTAATTTCATATGATTGGTAACTTATTTGTCTTATTCTACTTATTATATTGCAGGGGTTAAAGCAAAAAATATATATTTTGGCTGAAATTTTTTTCTTCGACCAAACCCCATTCCTCAGCCGTACCTGTCACACACCCAGTTTAAGAGCAGTTATTTCTTCTTGTTAATTAGGAGCGCTTGTCCTCCTAATTTAGGATAAATTAGGAGCACTTTAAAATTTAGGAGCATCTTCTGATCAATAATCAAAAATTCTGATCAAAAATTAGCCTTCCTAATACGAGGTGACATTTGACTCGTGACTTACAGGAGTATTTTCTTTTTACCTTTTGTAATGGCATCATTTTCATCTGTCAAATTCAAAAATGTATGTTTATAAGCTTTTTAATGTTTCTATTTAAAACAATATAATAAGAAGTAGAATAAGACAAATAAGTTACCAATC